TCCAGCAGTGCTCTCATCAACATTTAGATTAGAAAATTTATTTTCTAAATTAAAAGCCTGGGCTTTTCCATCAATTTGCACACTGACCCTTGCAGTATGCTTTTATGCGACTTGATTTTTCACCCCAAATTATTAAGATTCTTCGCTCCTACCTGCAGTCCCGAGCTTTCTTAGTCAAAGTGGGTGGAGTTACTTCCTCAACCAGACCAATAGAAGGGGGAGTTCCTCAAGGGTCGCTATTGGCGCTCGCGCTGTTCAACTTATACTTAAATGATATTCCGAGAGACTGCCAGACCTCTCTTTTCTGCTACGCTGATGATACGGCGATAGCCACACAGAACAAATCACCTCAGCTTGCTGTTAAAGACTTACAATATTCTGTTTACAATTTAGAAAAATGGTTAACCACCTGGAAAATTAAAGTAAACGCCACTAAATCTGCCTGTATGCTATTTACTCGGAAGATCGCGTTTTCTCCATTAGGGAGTATCACTCTTTTTGGCCAGCCCGTCCCCTGGGTAACTGAATAGATACCTGGGGTTGTTTCTAGACCCAAAATTGTCTTTCAATACCCATATTAAGAACACAGTTGCTAAAGCAACTGATGCGAGTATTAAACTCCACTGCCTAATTTCTCGAAAGAGTAGGCTTGCGATCAAACACAAGCTTCTGCTCTACAAATCTATCATTAAGCCTATCCTGGTCTATGGTAGTCCCATCTGGGCCTCTACCTCGCTCACGAACATCAAGAGACTCCAGGTATTTGAAAATAAACACCTGGCTATGATTGCTGACGCACCATGGTTCGTTCGTCGTAAGATCCTCCATCGAGATCTAGACGTCGAGCCTATTCCTGATTACATTATCAAAATTTCAAAGAATTTTCTTGAAAAATGTCCTCAGATTAGCAATGAGTTAATCCGTAGTCTGCCAACCTATCACCCAGGTGTGAAATCATCTCAAAAAAGACCAAGGGCAGTCTACGACGTCTCCTATGAGTGCTTTCCTAAAGTTAAGAAGCACCATGGCTGTTATTCTGAACAAGCGCAAGCGAGTTCAGGTAATGGGGTGAGCCATGCTCATTGAGAATTTATCTCAATGCGTATCTGACGATTTACTTTGGCTTAAAATTAATTAACTCCTTAATTTAAAAGAATTGGCGCAGGGATATCCTGTTCCTTTTCTATCCCTTTTTACTGCTACGTTGTGCTTTAACTATTTTCTTATGACTTTCCGACTGGTAATTAAGTTAGGGTTTTTATTTTATTTTTCGTTCGCTTTTTTACCCCTTTTTTTGTAAGGAAACAAAAGGATTAGAAATAAAAATTATAAAAATAAAAATAAAAATTATAAAATCGAAAATCAATTAAAAAGTATAAAATTTGAAAATCAAATAAAAATTATAAAAAGAAAAATTAAAAAGAATCACGGTTCTGTGATCGGCCTTTTTTTTTTGTGGGGATTTTTGTATTTTGCACCATGTTTAACCTTTACCTTTCAGATGCTCCTATTGGCTCTCACCGTTCAGCATGATTTCCAATCAGTGATCAGTAAACAAAGGGTTGGAGAGTTTGTTTACGTTTTTGCAATAGTAAAAGGCATCGACAACTGGTCCCTAATTGTACCGAATTTAAAACTTAACTTTTAATTTCTTTTATTTTGTATCTTACTTTTTTTTTTTGAGTACCTACTTAATTTTTGAATTTAGAAACATTTATCTTTTATTTTTTACTAACAATAATTAAGCAGCCATTTAAAATTCCAAGTTTATTTATGAATTAAGATGAGGAGGTTTAAGGGGTATATCCCCCTGTTGGTACTCCGTAAACGGTACGCCTGTTGCCAGTTGCCAGTCGAGCAGTATCGAATCAGTATTTCACCAAACAAACTTCAGTTCAAACAATTCGAACTTATTTGAATTTCAAAGTTTGAAGTTCGTATGGTACCGAAAATACAGGTTCGACACTGCTCGATTCTGTATGATATGGAAAATACGGATTTGGTGTACAAATAACAAGCATTAGCGTTTGATTGCACTATGGCGTGTCTTCTTAATTGTTAGGGGGACGAGGGACATTAAGTGTTATGTGTAATAGGAATATTAAGTGCATATGTATAGCATTGTAATAAATTTATTGATTATGTTTACGTTAAATTTAAAAGAAAATTAGAATGAAATCAAAAATCTTTTTGGTTATTATTTCAATAATGGATGTATTTGTTAACACATTTAATATTATTTTCAAAGACAAGTAATTTTTCTTTATCCTTCATGCAATTTTGAATTTTTAGAATTTTAAATATGGAATATTTTTATCTGAAAAATAGTATCGATTTTTTAATAAGTCTTGAAATAATAATTTAACTATCCGATTGAAAAATATTAATTTGTTTTATCTGAATTTGGTATTGACATGATATACTTGCCTTAAACGGGCTGTTATTTGAAATACGATTTATTAATACGCTTTTATTAGTTTCACCAGTACGTTTGTTTGTAACTAACTCTTTGGGCTCGATTTTGCCCTACTTTAAGCGATTCGATTTAATTTAAACGTTGTAGACTTATCAAGGATCGACGACAATAAAATATTTTGATAAGTTTATTATCTCATCATGATTAGGAGCGCAAGGATTAGTGATTTTATTTTAACTTATGAAGAGCAATTTAACCCATGTAGTATGAAAGTACCTAAGGCATTCAAACCTACGTGGGACAGTGGCACAACGGATAACGCGCCTGACTACGGATCAGGAGATTCCCTGTTCGAATCCTGGCTGGTTCGACATATTCGCATTTACCCTTTGTTTTACTCACAATTAAATTATTGTAAGAACTATTGTTCCAGTCCTCCATACCGGAAACTCATTTAAATATTATAGTTTAAAAACACTAAAAAATATGCTTTTAGAGTTAACCAAACTAAAAAGTAAAAAAATAATTGTTAACATAAGAATAAAATGACTGACGAGAAAATGAATGTCACTGTTCTAAAAGCGTGGGATGCTCGATAATCGTTATAATTTTTCACTAGTTTCATTCCGAAATGCAGAGTTAGTTTCAAAATGTCATACAAAGCGCCTCACGCTTTTAGAACAATGACATTCATTTTCTCTTCAGTAATTTTATTCTTATGTTAACAATTATTTTTTTAGTTTGATTAACTCTAAAAGCGTATTTTTTAGTGTTTTTAAACTATAATACTTTTTAAATGTATAGAAATAAGAAATAAATGAATCATTTAAATTCAAAAGCATCAAATGATATACGAGTTTCGATCAAGTAAGAATAAAAAAAATTGTTGTTGTTGTTGTTTCTTATCCCACTTGGCTGGCCAGGCCCACGAGCCCATATGTACTCATCATTGAAGGGGAAGGAAGCCGCTTCTGTTGTAATGGAGCACCCGTAGGTAGAAGCCTGACTTTTGCTCCGTGACGCTCTTACAGTCATAGGAGACCGGGACCTACGGCTTAAAGTGGATTCCGAACCACTACAAACATCCATGGCACCGCCGGGATTCGAACCCGAAACCTGTGGCACCGAGCGCCAGAGCGCTAGACACTCGGCCATTCAGGTCCCAAATTTGCCAATGGCACGCAGTGTTCCTCACTTTCCAAACTGCTGGAAAATAGCCGTGGTGGTTCCGATCCCAAAACCAAAATCGGATACCTCTCTTCCAAGTAATTTCCGTCCAATTTCGCTACTCAATAGCCTGAGCAAAGTATACGAATATGCGATACTTAAACGCCTGAATCAGTTCTCCGAAGATCACAACCTAATTTTTTCCTGAACAATTTGGGTTCAGGAAAAACATCTCTACTACCCACCAGCTCCTTCGAGTCACTGAACTGATTCAAGAAGGCTTTAACAATTGCGAATCCACGGGTATACTTTTCCTGGACTCACAACTAAGTTTTAACCTTCAACTCAAAGCTACCGTAGCAAAAACAACAGCTATCAGCAAGCAAATGAATCAACTAATCTCTAGGCAGAGCCGACTCCCAATTAGACTAAAAGTACTTATTTACACCTCTATTCTGAGACCAATTCTCACATACGGCTGTCCCATATGGGCAACTACTTCCATAAGCAATCTGAAAAAGCTGCAAGTCTATCAAAACAAAAGACTAAGCGACTTCGTCAATGCACCCTGGTTTGTTCGACGGAAAGGAATTCACAATGATCTCCAAGTAGAACCAATTCTAGAATATATCAAAAACTACTGCAAAAAGTTTTTCACAAAATGCCCTCAGATTCGAAACGAACTACTTCAGGCAATTCCTGCATACGATCCAGCAGAACGCAGCTCTCAAAAACGGCCTAGAGCCATCCTTTACCACGAATTCGAATCATTGCCCTCAGTCAAAAGACGGAGGGTCCATTAGACTGCTTGTGTGAAGCACTTCGTTTCGAACCCGAGAAGCTATCAATAGAACCAGAAAGCGACCGCAAAACTATCCCCCCGGGGAACGTTGCACGGTAGTTTTCCCCTTTTACAACCTGATAATTGGTGGTTAGCCACACTTCACAAAACCTGTGTCACACTTGTGTCGTTCTCATCGTCTGCTGTATCCAGTAAGTGTCTTTTTAATTGTTTATTTAATTTTAAGCTCTATAATTTTTAATCTTGTTTAAGATGACTCTTGTTTAACTTTAAAATTAATCACTGGTCATAATTATCTCTAGTAAATTTAACTGAGTTTCTTTAGTACTTTAAAACGGCATGTGCAATGGACCCCTAATTATTTCTTCACTCTTAATCATTTTATTTTAAAAATCTTTATTTTTAATTTTTACATAAATCCTATCTTTTATTTTATTATTATTATTACCTTTATTTTCCAGAGTTATTACTCTAGTAATTATTATCATGTTAAATTAATTTTAACTTTAATGCTGATTTTTATTCTTAATTCCTTAATTTTAACTTATGATATGGAGTTTTAGTGACAGTTTTGTTGCGGAGGTACTTCCTTGAAGAAATGTCCGTTGCCGTTGCCACGCAGTGTTCCCAGGTGGTCACCCACCCAAGTACTGACCGCGCCCAATGATGCTTGACTTCGGTGATCTAACGAGAACCGGTATATTCAGCATGGTACGGCAGTTGAAAAATAGAATAGAAATAGAAATAGAATAAATAGAAAAAAAATAGAATAAATTATAGATAAGACAATACTTTAAAATGCATGATTGTTGTAATTTATTTCGATTTCAAAAGCAAAAATATTATTGCTTAGTTTTAAAATTACACCTGAAATTATATGTATCCAATTTTGCAAAAAAAAAAAAAAAAAAAAAAAAAAAAAAAAAGACTGTTACTTAGGGTAAGAAAATATGTCAGGCATAAGGGAATAAACAATAGATAAATGTATTTTTAAATAAATAAATAATTTTTTAAATATGTAAAAATTTTATTTAAATTTTAAGTATATTTATTTAAATTTAAGTCTATTTATTTATATTTTTGCATTTTTAAATAATATTATATATTTATAAATTACACCCACCCACATAAACACATTATACATATGCATTGCATTTTATTTATTAAAGTAAAAGACAACAACAAATAGGTTGATTTATTAAAATTTATTTTATTTTTCATTCTATGAATAAAATATAGTACTTTAACACGTTACATTACTTTTTTAATCAAGTCAGATTACAATTTATGAGATAGATAGTATATTGGCAGTATCAAAAAATAGAGAAATATACATTTTTTTAATGATTTCGTATTATAAATATAAGTTAGAGATATATTTGCTTAGTAAATTTGAATAAGAAATGGTTTCACTAAGTTACGATCCAAGTTTGTAAATCTTTGTCAAAAATTATATTTCTATAACGATTTTGGTAATTGCATATACTTATCCTATGTCACCAAATTTAAAATTCTTGAGCCTGTATTCGAGACTTTAAAAACGTAGCCAAACTTTTTGAGAAACGATCTGAATTACCACTCAAAACTGTAGAATTTATTTATTTTCTAAATAACAAATAAAAGTTAAATAATCCTCCTTAAAAAAAATCATCATTTCCAAAGGTTTGAATTTTATCGGTGCAAAGTAATGGATAAGAAAATGACATTAATTTCTATGTAAAATTAAAATGACTCATAAATAATTTTCTATTTTATCATTTCAGAAAAATTCAAATATTACATTGTTGAGACCTCATATGCATATTGAAACGTGGACTAATAAACACACCTGAATTATATACCGAAGGATATCTAAAATACTTTTAATACTGTACGACATGAATATTTTTAATTTATTATTTAAAACAGAACTAAATTAAATTGCATACAAATAGTTTTTAAATAAAGTTATCATGAAAATATTAATTTCAAATAAACATCTTAATTTATATTTTGTTTTTGGAAAACATGTTCACGATATTGTAATGGGCCAAAGTGCAAATTATTTGAGCAACTGAATACCGTGTAATTTAACAATTCTCAAACTGTAATATAATAATTTAACAATTATCAAGCCTCAAAAGATTATTTAAATAAATCAATTATATTTATAAATATTCTAAACGAAATATTCCTACACAAATCTGAATATAGTTTTCACACTTTATAATTTAAATGAAGAATTTTAAAAAATAAAACAGGAGAATAGTTCTTTAATTTTAATCTTTTACAAAAAATGTATATTTTGATGAAATGTTTAAATTATTATGATGCGATGTTAAATGAATTATTGGATGTTAATACTCTGCATTATTTTAGATGTTTCGATAGTCGAATTGGCTCAATGATCAGCAAGATATGTATTACTGATATATACTACTGTCTGATGTGCAATACTGCGTTCTACTGAGACTGGGTTCGATCCTTGATTTTTTACAGAATAAGGATAAAAGAAAAATCTTAAATAGAAAAAAAAAATAAGGCTTTGAGAACGTGTCTTTTTTTATTAAAGAAATGTTTTATATGCATCATTATAAAGGAATCTGCAACTAGTCCTTACTGTACTGAAATTTAAAATTTTTTCTTTTTCTTTTAAATATTCATCTTATTTGTTATTTTTAAAAAAATTTCTTCTGTTACCTATTGTTTTAAACTTTTTATTTTTATGCAGTTTTTATTTTAATTAGCTACTAACATTAATTACGCAGCCACACTAATTAGTGTTTAAATATTAATTCTGATAAGGAGTTTAACGCGTCTCTATGGAGCTCCATAAATTGTACTGCAGTTATTACATTGCATTGTTGGCCATCGTAACCTAGGTTCGAATCATAATCGAGGGGAAAAGTTTTTTGTCCTACGATTTTTTACTAAGGCTTTAGTAGAAAATCGATGCTATATATTATTTTAGTCTTACAAATGAGTCATTTTTAAATAAATTTCTGTTTTATTTTTCGATTATATGTAACTGCTTTTATCAAACATCTATTCTCCATTTAATTCTTTTTCTTTTATTTCTTTTTCAAATTTTTGTTTCTAATTAAAGAAAATATTTAATTATAATTAATATTATGATTATATTAAAAAAAAAGCATCTACATAATTTTTAATTCTTTTTAACTCAACTCTTTTAACTCTTTTTTAACTTTTTACAATTGGAAGGGCGTGATGGCAGAGTGATTAGCGCTCTGGCGCTAGGTACCTGTTTCGGGTTCGAGTTCCGGCGGTGCCATGTATGGTTGTAATGGTTCGGAATCCGCTTTAAACAGGAGTCCCGGTCTAACATGAGCGTTGCGGGGGGTATTGTTACTCCGCTTCCGTAGCTGGCCTTTAATCAAACGCGCAACTCCTGGGTAGTGCTAGTGTGTAACATCGGTGCAGCGCATTGTCTTAAGGCATCAAGACAGCTGTCTAAGTCAGGGGTCTCCAAACTGCGGCCCGCCAGCTTAGCATTGAATATTTTTAATGGAATCATGGTAATTATTTTTTAAAATATTAAATTTTTCTCTGAATTTTTTTTGGCATGCTATTTTCACATTAAATACGCTGTTTAATTGAAATACGAATTATTTTATGTCTTGTAATAAGAAATAAAAGATTTATTTAAAATTTAAAAGAATCAAATCATATATGAGTTTCTATCGATTAAGAAAATAGGTTTATATATGTGAGTTATTTATATTTGTATAAGCAAAAGCAGTAGTTTTCAGTTTTAAAATTAAATCTAAAATTATATATATCCAATTTTTGGAAAAATAGAAAATATAGCACAAAAAAAGGAATATGTCATGCATATGAAGGATGAACAATTACGTATAGGTAAATAATAGATAAATGTCGTTAATATAATTCTAAATAAATATTTTTTAACAAATCTTATTTCTGAAAATTTCATTTTGTTTAGATATAACAATGATTTTTTTTCTATGGAAAAAGAATGCCCTTAAGAAATTCAATTCAAGTAATAAATGGAAAATAAAGAATTGTTTCAATGCTTCAAATTATAGACTACAGTTAATTTGTAAATTTTTATTAATTTGGATATTTAACAAGCTAATCAATAAAAAAGGGGCAAATAAAGCATATTAATCGTAGAGAAAAATTTAGTAATTTTTAGAAATTAAAAAAATTTAGCAAGGAAGAGGAAAAAATATGCAAAGGTAAAATAATAATAAAATTTGAAATTAATTTAAATTTAATACATTTATTTG